GCGGAAACCCCTGCTTTAAAATTGGTCAGGATACATCCATCTTACTCCCAACTCATGTCCTGAGGTTGCTACCTTAGGACTCAGGAAAATGGGAGTTCAGCAAGTAAACCTTCAGCTCAGCTGCTGTTCCAGGAGAAATGCAGAAAGACCATTTTCCATGTAAGCTCTAGGACAGGGGCTTCCAATCTTGGCAGCTTTTTTAAGATCTGTGGACTTCTTCTTCCAGAATTCCCCATGCCGGCTGCAGAATTCTGGGAGCTGAAGGCCACAGGTCTCAAACTTGCCAAGTTTGGACACCCTGCTTGAGGATGGGTGTGTGTGTGTATGTTGTTAGGATTCTTGCCTTGTTGCACTTCCTCAGCTGTGAAGATACCAAGAGCCCAACCAAAATTTCTCAATGCTGTGAGGGACAATTTTACTATTTCCTCCAAAAAGTGACTGTCCTTCTGTCTGTCGCCCCCCAAATACCACTCTCAAGACACGATGGCACAAAAATGTTGGTGAATTTGGGGAGCCAAAGACCCTAGCTTTAAGAACAGGGGTAGCCTTTGCAACTTTAAAGACTTGTGGCCTTCAACTCCCAGAATTCTGCAGCCAAGATGGCTGGCAGACTAATTCTGGGAGTTGAAGTCCTTGTTTTAGAAGGGCCCTTAAGGCTTCTCTAACCTCAGTGTTTCTGGACTTCAACTCCCAGAGGGCATAAGCATTGCTAAGAATTCTGGAAATTAAACTTCACAAAGGTCTGAAGCCTAGGACGGGGTAATCTAGTCAACTCCAATGCTCTCTGAGCTCCATGGGTGCAATTTTATTTAAATTATACCAGGCAGACCACTTCATAAGGAACAACTGACTAAGCTACAAAATGTGCAGAGTATTATTACAAGTTTTCCTCTCCAAAAGCACCTTTCTTGGCAATCCACTCTGGTCTCATAAAAGTTGTTAAGTATATTTTCCTCAGCAAGGTCCAAAAGGTGTTGAGGTTGTGCGGTTGCTAGAAATGTGCCATCAAAGCTCTCAGTTCATCTCCTTCTGCAGGAAAACTTGTAAACTTAGCAGAAGTTCAATGAGAGACTTTACCTGGCTAGAGTGGACCTGAGTAAATTCCTAAATCCAGATTGGACATCCAGTACAAGCCATGGGTCATGTTGTTTAAACCAGTTTCTCAATCTTGAGAATTTTAAGGTGTGCGGACTTCGATTCCTAGAATTCCTCATGCTGGCTAGGGAATTCTGGGAGTTGAAGTCCACACACCTTACAAAAAGTTCTCAAGGTTGAAAAACACTGGTTTAAATGATGCAAGTTACATAATTTGGGCCCTGCCCTACTAGAGACACTCATGCTGCCTATGTGGTGGGTTTGTATATTCCAGGGGGGGCTCCAAATTTGGCAACATTAAGACTTGGGGACACGCTGGCTGAAGAATTCTGGGAGTTGAAGTCCACAAATCTTAAAATTGCCATGTTTGGAAAACTCTGAATTATTCCTTGGTCATAGTTAATTTGCAATTGTTCGGTCTTGCTTGATATTGATAAAACAGAACTAAGAATCGTCTATCATATGTCTGGGTGGGAATTCTGAATTGTGGGGAAAAGGTTAATCTTGTGAACGATTGATTGGGTTGTACAGTTGCTAAGCTGTAACATGGTTGATTTTGGGTTAACTGATCTGTCAACCTAGCCACTGATGTGTAAAACCAGGTTTTTGAGCTTTGGTTTATAGCATGATCTTAGCCAACTGTGGTTTGTACGTCAAAGAATGATTGAACAAGCCAAGGCATTTCATGATTGATGGATCAGATCACTGATGAAGCAATGGAATGGACCTCTTATAAAAGCACAGGAGCAGCACATCAAATCTGGACATGAAGCGGACATGAAGGTAGCACCAGATGGAAGCATTCCATTCACTTGAGTTGTATGGTCCATGTTTTTTAAGAAGCAGACAGGTGCAAATCTAGTTTCTCCATCTTAAGTTACAGGTTTCGATGAGTTACAGGTATGAAATCAAATCAAACAATTTGGCCACCATGATAGGGATGACACCTGCATACCACCCCTATACACCTGAGAACTCCCCAATTATGGGTGTGTGTGTGGGGGGGGACATGCCAATGACATTAGATGCATTGTGTCATCATGCCAAAGAAGCATCATTATAATTTCTACTGAATGCCTCTGATTCCAGTGGTATCTCTGTACTGGTAACAGAAAATATTTGTAGCTCAGAGTTGAACTGTGGGGTCCTTGGTGCTCTCTGAGCTTGGCTGTTTTCTCGCAGACATTTCATTACCCAACTATGTAATGTCATCAGTGCTAGGAGTGGGTTTGTTCTCTTTATATACAAATATATAAACACTATTGGTACAACATTAACAGAGCAACAGAGGTGGTATTCAGCTGCTTTGGACCAGTTTGGGTGAACCTGTAGTGGAAATTTTGACCAGTTTGGAGAACCGGCAAAGACCACCTCTGACTGGCCCCACCCACCCACCTCAGCCCTTTCCCATCCTATATTCCATTGACTTGTAGCTCAGCTGATTTGCGCGACAAAGCGGATTGTGAAGTGCGCGGAACTGGTAGTGTGCAATTTGGAATCCCACCACTGCAGAGCAAGCCGCGGCATATAAACGGAGAATAAACCCCATTCTTAACCAGCACTGATGATGTTACCTAGTTTGACAATAAAACGTCTGCAAAAAAGCAGAGAGCACCAAGGACTCCACAGTGATTCTCTGTATTTGGCCAAATGTTGAACTTGCATATCTTTAGCTATCATAACATGATTATTTGTACTGACAGGTTTCATTAAACAAAAAAAAAAGGAAAATACATCAACCAGGTACACACGTTACAGTACACCTTAATGTAATCGGTTATTGGCTTAGGTATTGCATAAATTTAACCCCTGTGGTTTATAAACCATAGCTTATAAACAGTGTTATGTATGGACCATGTTGCTGTGGTTTAGCAAACCAGCCAGGGTTAAATAAACCATGGTTTAATGCAGTGTGCAAACCCAAACAAGGGTATGTGTTTTTTTTCCAAAAAAAAAAAAAAAAAAAGAAAAATGAGAGACTAACCGTTTTATAACATTGAGACTCTTCTTACATAGGCGTTATAAAAATAAAAGTATCCAGAATTAACGCTCTTAAAATATATTCCAATTTTTTTAAAAGTAATTTTACTTTAGTGAAACTACACATTCTTAAACAGAGACAGGGATCCTGTTTTCTGCTCCAAGACCTCATTAAAGGAGGGGTTGCCTTCGTCTTCTTTCTCAATTCTTTCTTGTTACACCCCAGTTTTTCCTCTAGCCGGTTTTTGAGACCCAAAGGTCCTTAAAAGGGCAGGCAGGAGGAATAAGTTGAGGTTGGGCGAAAGATTTCCAACGGAGAATTCCCCCAAAGATAATTTACTAGGAATATCTGTTTTATCATCATCTTCATCGCTTTCTTTTAATACAGTCGTAGCCCAGCATAAAGCTTTTTAAGCAACAGATGCCGCTTTAAAGATTATCACATACATTCCTGCCCCTTGAATTCATCTAAAGCATGGGTCTCCAACCTTGGCAACTTTTTAAGACTGGTAGACTTCAAGTCCCAGAATTCCTCAGCCACAAAAGCGGACTGTCAAGCAATAGGTGCCGCTTTTAGAGATTAGAGCAAAACTGGCTGAGGAATTCTGGGAGTTGAAGTCCACCAACCACCAGTCTTAAAGTTGCCAAGGTTGGACACCCCTGCTCTAAAGGTCTCTAAACTTGCAACTTTGAAGACTTGTGGACTTCAACTCCCAACAGTCTGCAGCCAAGATGGCTGGTTGAGGAATTCTGGGAGTAGAAGCCCACCCGTCTTAAAGCTGCCAAGTTTGAAGACCCCTGATCTAGGTTTCCCAACCTTGGCTGCTTTCAAGATGTGTGGACTTCAACTCCACTGCTGGCTGGGGGAATTCTGGGAGTTGAAGTCAACGCGTCTCAAGGTGGCCAACATTGGGAAGCCCTGATCTAAAGCAACGTAGAGCCTTGTAGAACGATGGCTCCGAGCGCATACAAAACATAGAAATTAGGAAAATGACTTCCCTGCTGTAATAAATTAGGAAGAAATCCTTCGGATCGAACGAAGGAGGAGGAGAAGGAGAAGAAGGAAGAAGGAAAAGAAGGAAGAAGGAGAAGAAGAAGGAGAAGAAGGAGGAGGAGGAGGAGGAGGAGGAGGAGAAGAAGAAGAGGAGGAGGAGGAGGAGGAGGAAGAAAAAATAATAATAATCCCCTTGGCTGTGTGACTGTCAACTCAGTCAGCCCAACTCTTGTGCTACATTATCTTAGTTTTGGATCGCTTTTACGGACAGTCCGAGGCAAAGAGGTTAGCAAAAACGAAGAACCACAGTGTTTAGAAACAACCAAGGATTTTGTTTTGTTCTTTTCTTTTTAAAAAAATCTATAAATAGAGAGATTGGGAAAATAATAATAAAAAAAACACCTTGAGAAATTCTCTGACCCTTTGCAGGTGGGCGCGTGTTCCAACTTTTATTGTTTTTTTTTAAAGTCACGCGGGAAAATGTAGGAAGAAGCTTCTGTGTCATGCTGACTCCTGAGTTGTACGGTTTCGCACAAGTGCTGGGGTTGGGTTGGGTCTCACACCGCAGTCTTGGAAGACAGTATTTTGCTGTGCAAAAACATTCTTGAGTCCCTTATCGGTACCTTCAGCGGAGGCTCACTGGGAGAGGTCCTCCCGCCCCGCCCGCCTGGCTCAGGGTAGGCGGAGAGACATTCTAGGCATACGCATCTCGCTCACCAACCTCCTGGGATCCTGCTGAGCATAAAAAAATGGGCAGAGCGGTCTCCCCCGCGTACAATGTTGTGCAGAGAAGTGCGAATTGATCAGCAAAACCTGGGAAGGCAGGCAGTTCTCAGGGATCGTAAGCGTACAACCCACGACGCCCAAAACGGGAGATCCCCATCCCCGTAAAACTGAGGACTTCCAACTTCTTTCCTTTTGCCAATGTGGAACTGCTTCTGCGTCCCATTTCTGAGTGGATGAGCACAAAGTTAACTCGTTGCGTGTCAATAGTTGTGTGCACGAGGAATCCCTGGCTCGGACCCCAAAGCTTTTTCGGTCTGTCCTTTGAAGTATCATCCACACAGCTGCTCCAAACTATGGTGTCTGCCCCTCCCCACATGGGGAGGGGAGGTGCTTCTTTTTGTTGTTGTTAAGCACACACACACACACACACACAAAATTAAAACCATACCCCCCGCCCTCCCCATGTTGTTGAAATAAAATCAAAACAACCAGTTAGTAGAGTATGTACAAAATCTTTTACGGAATTCTGTCTCGTAGCTTTAAAAAATATAAATATTGTCCAAGACACAGCAGAGAGCTCATCGATATTTTAATTAAGGCTTCATTGTTGTAGATCCTTCATAATTTAATTTGGAGCTCGGAGAGGGCGCTCCTTTAACGGGCACGACTTGAACTCAGAACAGTCGGAAGCAAATGTCCTTCCTAGGTCACAAGGCTTTCCTTCCTGGGTCATTTTGAGCCACTATAACAAGGTCCTTTCTCATGTGCTCCAGACAGATTTGCTGTGATTGTTAGATAGAAGGGAAAAAATATATAGTATATATCTATGGAGCTTCTCAATCATCCAGATCCTGGTTGTCCTAAAGGCCTTTTTTCAAAAAAGGCAACTGGACTTTTCTTTTTTCCTTGAAGACGTTTGGCTTCTCATCCAAGAAGCTTCTTGAGTCAGAACTGAAGAAGCTTCTCGGCTGGGAAGCGAAACGTCTTCCGAGAAAAATAAACTCCAGTTGCCTTTTTGAAAAAGCACCTTTGGCCCCCAAAAAAGAACAACAACAAAAAAAGAGAACGTAAAGCCTTCGTGGCTGTTTGTGAGTTTCCCTACGTCAATTCGAAAAAGAAAAACGAATCCGCCTTCGATTTCAAAAGTTAAACTCTGCCTCGGATTAAATTAATGCAAGGGGTTTGTGTGTTTTAATGTGAGCTTCGTCTGGAGAAGGTCAGAGGAAAGATGGGGTCGATCTGTTATCAGGGTTGGTCCCCGGGATCGCTGGAGGTTCAGCGGCCATTTTGCTCTCGAGGAAATATTCTGTGGGGAGGCTCTCTAAGAGACACTTGAGTTGTTCCTGCCCTAGCTTGATCTTGTCGTCCAGTTCCCGCTGTTCTATAAGCAGCCCCGATTTCATCTTCACAAAGTGTTGGTAATCCTGAAGTTGTTCCTCTGAGAGGTAGCTGCACAGGATGTCCAAGACCACACGTTCTCGACGGTCCAGGTTATCCTTCAACTCACGGGCGTCTTCATGCTGGCCGGCTAACATCTTCCGCTTTTCGTTCAGAGAAACCTGGGAGAGGAAAAGGGGAGGAACAAAAGAGGCAAATGAAAAATACAGTATGGCAGCCCTTGCTATATGATGTGGGTTCCTGTTGCGACCTGAGATTTCTAGAACGGAAGCTCCACGCGAGTGTTCTGACCCAAACCCTTTTCCAAGAAGACAAACCATAACCAAAGGGAAGAGGAATCTTTTAATGAGCCTTACGAATCCCCGGTTAAAAGGCTGCTGCAAACTAATTAACTTTGCTACGCACAAACCTTGCCAAAATTGTACGAGAATCACAGATAAGAAATATTTCACAACACAAGAGTCCAAATTAAGATACTGGAATGTCCACGAGACTGAGTTTCAAAACCACTTTGCCTCCTGCAAAGAACGTTCGCTTCACAGCTGGCTTTTATCTTCTTGAAGGAGGGGCCATTACCTTGCAGCCTTACTCCCAAGTTGCCCATGCTGTTGCAGCTGCTCTTTCCTGCGAGCAAACCTGTGCGCATCTGCACTTGGCACAGGCTCCTCAGGAACCTCCTCATCGCCGCTGCCAGCCCCCACAATCTCTGAAGGCAGCAGTCCACTCTCTAATGGTCCTGGCTCCTCATCTGAGTCCTCACTCTCTTCAGCCATCTGCACCTGCTGCTGGCTAACCACAACAGTGAGGGGATTTCAATGAAGTGGGGAGAAATGTAACAATTCTACACTATCTCCTCCGTGGGAATGAAATCAAAAGCTGCCTTGGGTAGAAGGCTCCTTGAATGGGAGCGCTGCACTGAACATGGGTGTCAAGGCTCCAGTAGTTATCCCACTTAAACCATGAGTCTCTAATCCTATTTTCAAAGCTTAAAGAAGATTTATTAGGAGTAGACATGCCGGTGCTGCCTGGGTGTAGCTGATTCTGAGACACATCATTCATTGTCTCCCTTGACCCTCATTTCCCCGCCCCCGGGTGTATTGTAATTCATATTCTCCAATGGGACACATCCATAGCCAAGAGTCATCAATCGTGTTCTCCAGTTAGGATTTTGCGAGGCAGAAACTTCGGTCACCTGGAAACTATCTTTGAAAACATTTACGGAATGCACTTTCGGTTTTGCAAGCTGCTGTACTGCTCCCCCCCTCCCTTTCTGTTGGTAACTCTAAAAGACCAGAGAAATATTTTATGAGTTGACAATGGGCCTCTTTCATCTCAAGGGGCCTCCATGCAAGGACTCTGAGGCAGTGGTGGGATTCAACTGGTGTAACAACTGGTTTGGTGAGTACGCGCTTCGCGTTTGAGAATCGCCCCTTTTCAGCTCAAAAACTTACCTTCTGCTGCAGCCCAGCTGAGTGAAACAGCTGAGGCGCGGCAATCTGCTGTGCCGCACGAATCAGCTGGGCTGCAAAACACGGAAATATAGGACAGACTAGGGCAGCGGAACCAACTAATTGCCGGAACTACCGGTTCATCTGAACCGGTCCAAACCGGCTGATTCCCAGCCCTGCTCTGCGGACCGTGGTGCTCTTTGAGCTTGAATCTTTTCTCATAGACATTTCATTACCCAACTAGGTAACATCATCAGTGGTAGAAGGGAGTGGGGTTTGCGAGGACTCTGTTGGTTCAAGACTGGTTCTACATCTGCCTGATTTCTCAACGTGACTCAGATTTATGACGACTGCAGCATCCCGGGGTCATGTGATCGTCTTTTGCGACCTTCTGACACGAAAAAGGCCAAGGGGGAAGCCAGACTCACTTAACCACCGTGTGACTAACTTAAGAACTGCAGTGATTCACTGAACAATGGTGGCAAGAAAGGCTGTAAAATGGGGCAAAACTCATTTAATCACCATCTTGCTTAGCCACAGGAATTTTTTTTGGCTTAACTGTGGTCGTAAGTCGAGGACCCCCTGTGTTCGGGTTCAGATGTGGAAAATCACCATACCCATTCTTGTTTATCCGCATCTTCGCCGAGGCTGCTGAGGACGTTCTCCACTCGAGCCAGGCGCCCTGAGAGGGAAAGCAAGAGGCTGACCACCTTATCCAGGTCGCCAATGAACATTCGGTACTTGTCAAATTCATTGGGCTTGCACAGGCCGCTGATCAGGGACTCCACTTCCTCTCCCAAGGTGTTGTTCAGCTTGATGTCTGCTAGGAGGCTCTCCTTGGCTTCCTTCAGAATCTCTAGTTTGTGGGTCAAGCTCTGAATGAGTTCAGCCTGGTTAAGAAGAAGCAGACAGAAATCAGTCACCGCTGGGAAGCAAACTAATAGGGTATGAGTGACCCCTCTCTCCACATACACGTTCTCTCTCTCTCTCTCTCTCTCCATCCATGTCTGTCAGTCTGTCCATCTCTCTCTTTGCCCATGTCTGCCCACCTGCCTCTATCTCTTTATCTCTCTATCATCTATCAATCCATCCACCCACCCACCCATCTCTGTCTTCTATATCTATATTATTTCTATCTATCTGTCTATCTATCTATCTATCTATCATCTATCTATCCATCCACCCACCCATCTGTCTTCTATTATCTATATCTATCTATCTATCTA